GTGCACAGAAAGCGATCCAGTTCTATATTGTATTCTGGATCGCTTTCGGCATAACAGTTCTTATTGTTTACTGCAATGCCGAAGTGATCCAGAATCTAGTACTTACTGGATCGTTTTACTGGCGACGCCGAAACCTTTGTTTACTGATTAACAGAATCCTTTACAGATAGCTTTGCTTACAGGTACGCCTTCTGTTCTACAGAATGTATTACTTTCTGGAATACTTTCTGGCCAGACTGTATTCATTGTTTACTGCAAAGTATACTGGTTTGACAGAAACTTTCAATTTTGCGGTGTGTTTGACGCTGGCTTGCTCTTGATCTTTGGTGACCGCCCACCCGGCTTCTATACTCTTGTCGTATAAGCTTACACACCATGCCCCATGGTTATTCCTGGCAAGTCTGCAACACCAGCTCCATCATGTTATATTCAGGTTAACACATTCAATATGCGGATTCATTATCGTCGACTTTCTTTGCTCTTACGCCTGAGCTCTGCGAGGGCTGTCAAAGCTGTCACCTCCTCCATCTCATCCAGAGACCACATCCACGTCCGGCCCAAAATTCCAGCAGACCCTACCTCCCAACGCCTCACCCTTCTGCTCAATTTCCCAGAGTTCCTCCCCAGTTTTGTAGTTTTCCGCTTCTGCGCTTTGTCCTCTACCCCAGCTCGTGCCGACCGTCCCGATATGCTCCCATGGGGACTCTCGGCGCAAACCTTGGGCCAGGCTCGGTCTCTGTAGACACGGAAGGTGCAGTGAGGGGGCATGAAATTTTGGCTCTTCTTTTTTTCAGCTTCAAGCTCCGGTGTCGCACCTGTACGGTCATTGATCTGCACATTGGGCGTACGAGAGACGATGTAGACAAGAGCTTCATTGATAGCGTCGACAGCATGCTGAGTCCTGAAAGCCCAGTGACCGTCAAACCACCATATCTCAGGCGCGTACGTGTCGCATAACTCCTTGACCTGTGCCACCATGCGACGTAGATATGCCTCTCCGTCTGGTGTTCCTTGATTGACATCGTGGCGGAACTCCCACCACGAGTAATACAGGCCGAACTTCCTACCGGCCTGTAGCGCAGCGGCTTTGAAGTCACCGACGACGTTTCGATGAGTGTGGTAATCTGTGGTGGAGGTGGGCCAGAGGCAGTACCCATCGTGGTGTTTTGAGGTGAGGAGGACGTATTCAGCGTCAAGGTCCGACGCGAGGGTCATCCATGCAGAAGGCTCCCATTTTTCGGGATGGAAGCCGCGCTGGAAATCTTGGTAGGGTGCGTTGTTGTAGACCCTTCGGTGATGTTCCTGGATCTTCTTTGTAACCTCATAGTCGTTCGCCTTCCGACGTGCAGGCTTCAGCAGTCGCTTCTCGTACCACTCGTCGCCATAGGCGGGAACGGCATAGAGACCTGCGTGCGATGTTACATATATCAGAGAACGATCTCAACACCAACACGCTTACCCCAATGAAAGATGAGGGAATACATTGAGCTTTGACGAGGGTTGGTAGGTTTATCTTGGGCAGAGCTAGGTTGAAGAATTTATGTTCTCGTTTTGAGTGAGGTTGTCTGACTCGAAGTTGCTAAATTGCTTCTGCCGATCATGACTAGCTACGGGCGCTGATGGTGCTAAATGCGAGTCGATTCAATGAAGAGAAATCGCATGTGCTAGACAGTCGTAAGAACAAAAATGCAACTGAGATGGTTGAGGCAACTCAGGCAAGCTGTTGCGTTTGATGGCCACGGCAATTTTTGATCGCCATCACTGAACTTTGACTCTTGCTACAACCTGCTTTCTCGATCGCTAAGCTATGGTAGATCCCCCGGTCCTTGCGGGCTCAAAACGACGGTTGCGCAACACCTCTATTCGCAAGCGCACCAAAATCCATCACAACACAACTGATGCTTTACCCTGGAAGACAGTCAAGCGTCCAATGGAGACTGGAATGGACGGCGACGACGGTATACTCGAACTAGAGGAAGTAGATGGTGTGGAAGTGGTCTACGAAGATACTGAAGCTGGTCGAATTATGACCTTCAACGTCGGTGTCACCCGCTCGCTATGGCGATAAAAATTGAGGCGTGAAATAGGTCATTGATGTTGCTGAAGATATCGAGTCTAAGGCTGAGGAGGTCCGTGAAAACTCTCCAGATGTAGAAGTTGCGGAGCCAGAGCCGTTCGATTGCAAGTACACTCTTGTAATCTTCATCGACTGTTCATGCCTGCTGACTGTCTCTCAGCCAGTAATCTACTGCCGAATTGGCATTCACATTCCCTTCACCCAACACTTCTCAGGACCCTGCACTCAAAAGATTTTCTTTCCCCAACACCGATTCAAGCGGCGGCCCTTCCATTCGCATTGTCCGGGCGGGATGTTGTTGGAATTGCGCAGACTGTACGCATTATAACGTCCTGAATGCGCGTTGTTTCTGATGCTTAACCAAGGGTTCCGGCAAAACGCTAGCATATGGCCTCCCCATCCTTCATCGACTATTGTCAACTACAAACCCCTCCAAGCGCAAGCGCAAGTTGGGTGCCCTAATATTGGCGCCAACTCGCGAGCTGGCGTTGCAAGTCTCATCTCACTTGAGTGAATTCCTGAACGCGGTGGGATCCAATGACGACAACAAGGATGCCGAAACTGAGGCTCCTACTGCGTCTCGTTCACCACCCATAGTCAGCGTAGCGACCATCGTTGGCGGCATGTCTTCTCAGAAACAGCGCCGTATCTTGGATCGTGGGGTCGATATTCTTGTGGCGACGCCCGGTCGACTCTGGGATATAATACAAGACGTATGTACTTATCTTCTTCGTTCTCAATCCCTCAACGCGAATGTGTCTTAGGACGACGACCTGGCTACCCAAATCAAAAATCTCAAGTTTCTCGTCCTTGATGAGGCAGATCGAATGATAGAGGCGGGACATTTCGTGGAGTTGGAAAACATTCTCCGCCTTACTCTGCGAGAATCAAAGTATTGTTTATCTTCCACTTCTTGTTCTCTCACTCATCTCTCTACCTTGCCTAGAGCGGACCAGATTGAGCCAGCGAATGAAGAGGATGACGAAGAGCCTATCCAGGATGGCCTGCAAACCTTCATTTTCTCTGCGACCCTGAGCAAAGATTTGCAGCGTAATGTCAAACGACGCGCTCGCCCGAAAGCTGGTGGCAAGAATAACAAATCGGGCTCACCAGCGTCAACATTAGGTCAAGCCATTCAATGCAAAAATTCTCCTTATCTCAACTCCCACAGACGACCTCCTCCTCCGCCTCGACTTTCGCGATCCTGAGCCAGAGGTCATTGATCTCAGTCCACAGGGTGGGGTTGTCTCGACTCTGAAGGAGAGCAAGATTGAGTGTCTTTCGGCGGATAAGGTGATTTGTTCAACGTTACTCATAACAAATAACCTCTCTTAACCGGCGCAGGATGTATACTTGTACTACTTCTTGTTACGATATCCTGGACGATCTCTCGTGTTCCTTGCCTCGATTGATGGGATTCGCCGCCTCCTCCCATTAACGGAATTGCTCAATATCAAAGCCTTCCCCCTGCATTCTCAGTTGGAGCAACGCCAGCGGCTAAAAAATCTCGATCGGTAAGGGACTGGATGGTTTGAGAAGAGTCGGACTAACACTAATTCAGTTTCAAATCCACGCCAAACTCTGTTTTGCTCGCCACAGACATTGCTGCGAGAGGTCTCGATATCCCGGCCGTAGACCACGTCATCCACTATCAGATCCCTCGCTCGGCAGATGCCTACATACATAGAAATGGGCGGACTGCGCGAGCAATGCGTAGTGGGTTCAGCATGCTCATGTGCTCTCCTGATGAACACCGTGTTATCCGTGCTCTACTCGGCAGTCTGGGGCGTCGTCAGTGTTAACATTGGTCGATCGACACGAATGCTGATTCCGTCTTCAGAGGAAAGCGAAATAGCGGAAATAAGTATCGATCTTAGTATGCTAGACAAGCTGAAGGAGCGCGTTCAGTTGGCGAGAAAGATCGAGATCGCCCACCACAAGACCAAAAAGGCCAACCATGATCGCAAGTGGATGAAGGAGGCGGCAGATGCCATGGAAATTGAACTGGATTCAGACTTCATGAGGTAGATTCCCGTTCGCGTTTTCGAACACAATGTTGATGATGTTGCGACAGCGGCTCGGACGAAGACAAGCCAGCGAATCACAAACAGAAAACAAAGAATATCGAGAATTCCAAACTGAAAGCAGAGCTCAAGAGGTTACTTGCGCAACCGCTTATCGCTCGCGGGGTGTCGACTCGCTACATCACTTCCGGAAGTAAACCCATAGTGGATGATCTGCTTGCGGGCGAGTGTAAGCAGTCAATTCAGTGCTGAGTGTCGAGAAGACTACTAAATATCTGCTACAGTCAATGATTCCATGGTCGGAGTAAAAAAGACGGAGGCAGGCAATGACCTGCTTTCTGGGAAGAAAAAGAAGCCCAAACGAGCCCCCAAGACATCCACTAGTACTTGATCCTTTCATCCAGTCGTGTATCTGAATATAAGCGGATCTCTATATGTTTCGCTGACGAACCGTGAATTGTCGCAGTACTGTGCCTCGATGAGACTCGAAAGTCTGCATCGGCAGGAGTCTTGCGGCTCGTGGCAGAGAATGAGCGCCGCACACGCCGCAGAGGTGCCTCCAGACTTCGAAAGAGCATCAGAGACTTGAGCATAGACTTGGGAATCAGAGATTTGAACACAGGTGTATCTCCCTGTATTTGAGACAAGATCGAGTCTAAGATAGGGTCGCAGTGAATTCACTGAAGCTACTTGAGTACCGAAGGAAATGACAAAATTGTGGCAAGGGATATCCAGATACAAGATTTTTGGAAAGGGTCTTCTGCATGTTGTCAGAAACCAGCTAGCTGCCCTCTGAACGAGAAATCGGTCATTTTGGGGGTTTTGAGAGTTGAGTCGGGAGGTTTGCGCGTATATGAGGGTTTTGGCTCTGAATAATATCTAAATGCAGGGTGAATATCGGTCGAATGGTGTAGTTGGTTTATCACTTCTGTCTAACACGGTTATTAGTCATGTGACTAGTGTTCACAGGCGGTCCTCAGTTCGAACCTGGGTTCGATCATATTTTGCTCCCGGCATTGGGAGCATGATCTGTTCATTTTTGACTTGAACTCAAACTATATAGAAGGGACAGAAATAGAGTTATCTGTTGTTGCTTTTTTTTTGGTGGATTCTCCCTCTAGTTGCCGAGATATCTCGAAGTCAAGTGGATACTTCGACCTTCCCGATTGGGACGATATCTCACGTAATTGGCGGTGAATGTCCATTTTGGGATTTAGGCGTGTAAATTTTGTTTCATCGAATTTGCCAGCACCACCTTCAGTTTCTGTAGTATCTTGTCAGCGTATGGGACCACGAGATGCGACAAGGTCGTATATACTCTTACTGCTCAATGCCTGCTGATAAACCTGGTGAATATTGTGGTGAACTACTGGCGGCACTCGCCAACATGACGAGTCCAGTCAGCAGCAGGCCACTGAGTTAGCAGTGTTCGACATTGTCCCAGGAGATTCAATTTCGTGCGGCTGCGGGCTATCGGAAGTAGAAGCTAGTAGAAGCCACATCCGAAGGACATGACTTCGGCCACAATCATCGCCATCCAGACGCTGCCCGTTGCAGTGTTTCAGTAAGTTTGCCCCTTGAGCTCAATTTGGGCAAGCCCAACGAGATTTTGCGTCTGGAATGGTATCTTATACAGGCAATACTGATACAACATGTCCCAAACTCGATCTACAACCTCCCGTCAACCATGTAGTCCGGTCAGCATGTCCCCCCAAATAAACACCACCGAATAAATAAAAGGGCACAAGTGAAGCAGCCGCGAAATATATCGTACACTTGACGCGCTGAGGCGTTCACAGTCTATCCACCAAGCACTAATGACTGCAAGCAAGGGTGCACGAAGCTCAGGCCGTTCCACGTTTCTTCTGTCTCCGTGGTGTTGCATCGCCGTATGGATACTTTTGCTTTTTCTCGGCAGGTTTGAGGATCTGTAAAGGTTTTGTGAATCAGAGAGATCGCTATATGTCGGGACGCACCTGGAATGAACACAGCAACGATTCGTCCACACTCATCATCGCTCCCGCATTGTCAAACTCCCCGCAATAATTCGGCGCGGAAAATAATGTGACCAGATGACGCTTTGCGAAAAACTCGTATCCGTCCTCCACGACCTGAAATCGCTGAGTTGCGAACGAAGTAAGCATGCAGCCAACGCACCTGATGGCCTCTACAAATGAGATCCATGTCGTGTTTTTGAAGAAAGCGTGCGACGACGTCTGGCCCGAAAGTAAACGATACACCGCGGTCGTTTTCTGACCAGCCAGTAATATCTTTGTCGGGATCGGCCCATAAGAGATCGGATAGCAACCCTGCAAAGAACAACAGAAATTAGTGCTGCATGGGGAAAACGAGCCAAAACTGACCAGTATCAGGAACGTCCGTCGGCCGCATCACCCGCCGTATCTGCTCCATAGATTGAAGGTCGGGACTCAGCCCACCATGCATCGTGAATATCTTCTCGTCGATAATGGCGGCAATAGGCAAGCAATTGAAGCAATCCGTGAATGTCTTCCACAGCTTTATGTTGTATCGTCGTTTGCCTGGCCGCTCAATGAGTTTCCCGTCTCTATCGCGCACCACACTGAAAACGCACATTCGTCGTAAAATCCGTATATCCGGTTGATACAAGCACACTCGTGGTTCCCCCGCAAAATAAAGAAGTTCTCGGGGTACTTGATTTTGTAGGCGAGCAACAAACAAATTGTTTCGAGGGACTGTTTCCCCCGGTCAACGTAGTCGCCCAGAAAGAGGTAATTCGCTTCAGGCGGGAAGCCCCCGTACTCGAAAAGCCGTAGCAAGTCGTAGTACTGCCCATGAATGTCACCTACCCGCCTCGGCCTCAGTACTGCGTGTCTTATAAATGGGCACACGACGCACCACATATCTTGATCGGGGCCTCTAGCTCGAGTAGAATGGGCTGGTTAATGAAGATTTCTCGCGCTTTCGTACAGAGGTACTTGATCTCGTATTCTTGCAATTGCACTGGCTTGCCAGGTCTGTTGCCGCGTACTGTATAGCCAATCTCGCTGTGAGCGACAAAAAACGGTGAAAAAACCGCTGTGATCCAGACAGACCTTCTAACAGCTTGTCGATAACGGAGTCAAGGTCAATCTCTATCCCAGAATCTGCCATGCGCAATTAACGGAGGCTTCTATAAAGGCGGTATACTGGTATCCGACAAGGGGGTATCGAGATAAAGGGGATTCGAAGAGTTCGTTGGGTGGTCGTTACAAGTGTTGGGGAGAAGGAAGGATTAAAAGGCGGGAGTGTATGGGGAGAGCGCTGGGACAAGAAACTAGTCGGGATGACTCGAGAAGATAAGTAAATCGCGTGGTGCTATCGCCCAAAATGGCGCTCAGTCACGAGTATTTGTTTGCTCCTTCTCGCCGCGGCTACCTCAATTCTTCCAACGCATTTCTTTCCTCAACTTCGAGGGCGACATCGAGGACGTCCTTCTGAATCTGAGTCGCCCTTATCTTGGGCTTCTCCAGGGAATTATTTTACTCTACAACAGCAATATTTACATGTATGAAAGTCGTATCTCACTGTCTGTGGGTATGATAATGCAGTAGATTAAAAGAATGAGTGTTCAGTCCATGCCAGAAGTGATAGAAAGATATACAAGTAAGTATAACATCAACGTGCCGCAGATGCATTATTGCTGTTTAAGGACGTTACAGGAGCTTCGGCACCATTCGCAGGCCTTGGACGACGTCGTCTCCGTCTGTGAATCGAATTTAGCATCCAAAAAACACTACGAATTAAGCCAACGCACCTGGGGAACAGCGGCCCTTTAGGCATAACCCGCTCGTCTAGATCCAGCGCTATATTCGTCGCGCTATGGAACCCCTGCAAACAAGTCAGTCTCTCGGTCCACTGAAGATTGATAGAACATACTTCAATCCAATCCACAACATCCCCCACATCCCTCGCCTGCAGCAAAAACTGCTCCCCTTCAAGTCTTACACGAATAACATGTTTCCTCTTCAAATAATCGTTCCCCAACCCACTCTCGCCATGCTGCAACGTATATGCGCGAATAAGGTCCGCAGGATCAGGTTCCGGGATGTCTGCCCCGGCTGTGCTGATACCAACACCAGACCACTTGCCCTTGCCCTTGCTGCTCATCGGCGTGGCAGGAGCGCGGCTGCTGACGATAGGCTGGGAACCGGGCGTACCCCGCGTGCTAGGTGCCCTAGAACGAGCCGATACAAGGCTCACATTCGACCGCGAAGGCGCCAACGCCGCCCCGCTCGTACTAGCATGCAAACTCCCACTACTACTCGCACCCGAGCTCGAGCTGCCACCAAACGACGGCCTTGGAATAGACAGCGACGATCTCGTCGGCGTGGTTGGTGTCTTGGGCGGATTCGGCATTTCGCTCTTCGACCGTCCATGCGAACGCGGCTTGAGCAGACTGATACCAAGATTCAACCGTGACCGACTGGCACTGGTGGACCCCGCAATAGAAGCCGCAGACGACGCGTTTCCCTCTGTTGATTCAGGCGAAGGCGGCGCCGTACCCCCTGACGAGGCACCACTCCTCGCAGAAGACATACTGGACCTCGGCGGAATAACCACCTCCGTCGTCCCCTGCTCCTCCTGCCCCTCCCCATCCACAGCAGCACTCCCCCCGACCCCCGGTATCCTCCCTTCCTCCCCAGCAATCTTACTAACCTCCTGCCCCTCCCTCTCCCTCGCCGCTCGCGCCTTCGCAGCCGCCGCCGCCGCACTCGGACTCACACTCCCCGCCGCCTGCAACGTCGCATCCCCCACCCCCACCCGCCTCTCCCACCACCCCTCCCCCGCACACCGATAAACCCTAAACACCGTCCCCTCCAGCTCACACAACACCCTTCGCCACTTCCGGTCCTTCGCCTGCACCCCCGGCGCGGTAAACTCCATCTTGCGCGGCATAACTCCGCGAAGCAGGATATCATTGCTATACGGCGGCAGAACCTCTCTCCCCTCGTCGTCCCTTGGCGTGATGCGCACTTGCGCGAGGGGATGCAGCCCACCGCCAGCACCGGTGTTATTGCTGTTGTTCAAAAATGCCGTCGAAGGGAAAAGCGGAAGTGTATACGGTGGCGGCGCGGCCATAATTTCCGGCATCGACCGCCGCCTCTTGAGCGTGCTCGCCCGTTGTGGCGGGGGTTCATACGCCGGTGCTTCCCCTGGCGGATGTGTAGACGCCGAAGCCGACGCAGAATCCTTGCTATTCTTCTTCGCCTTGCCCTTTGCTTTTGCTTTTGCCGTGGCCTTCAACCTATCCTTCACATCCTCCAAACTCTCCTCATCCTCACTGTCTTCCTCCTCCTCACCCTCCCCGCCTACTTCTTCCTCTTCCTCTTCCCTACCCACCGACGAAGACGAAACCTGCAAAATATCGACCATACTCCTCGACGCGTGCTTATACATCCCCGGACGTTCTGGGGCACGCGTAGGCAACTGCGGCATCGGCACCGTCTTCACCGCAGGCGACATGGGAATCTGTGGCATCTGCATCTTTGCAAGTCGACTGTCCTGCTGAAGCTGAATTCGATCCACGCCGGCCCCCGACGTGGATGATGCACTAGCTAGCCCAGCAGGAACAGCAAACACTGGCCTAGGCGTCTCTTCGCTTGTTGGCGTGCGCACCGAGAAGTAATCCATCTGACCGTTTTTGTTGGCGGCGGGCGAATGCCATGGATGCACCGTCGGCGTAATGAGACTGTTTCCCCGCGAGACCGACCCTGGCCCTGGCATCGTCCCCTCCCGTTCCTTCCCCTTCCCCTTCCCCCCGAATATCCCCGCAATATCCAACGAAAGCGGCGTCACATCCAACCTCAACGGCACAAACGGCGACTCCACCGTCCCGCCCTCCCCACTATCCTCATCCCCATCTGCGTCCCCGTCCTCCGCCTGCACCTCCTCACCCTCCTCCTCCTCATCACTCCCTTCCTCCTCATCCTCCTCCTCCTCGTCCCCAGCCGCCCCATCCTCCCTCGCCTTCCCCCCCTC